TTATTTTATCGATACTTGAATCTGAATGAAGTACCATTAACTGTTGAATAATAAACAACCAATGGTTCTTTCCTTTGTCTGAAAAATTGTAAGAACTCGTGACGTAATTTTGTAACATTATTTTGACACGAGGCATTGAACATTAAAATATGAGGGTGCAAATGACTGACGTATCTTCTCAAAGTAATAAATGTATAGTAATCATTAGGAAATCTTATTGAAATAGTTCAATCTTTGCAATGCGAGTTATCTATTTATATTAATGTACTAAATGACTTTAATATACAGTTTCTATAAAAAAACTGAAATATTATTTTTATTAGTAGTTGGCATCAAAAACTTCAAATGCAAAAAATTAAAAATGTAGATAGATAAAAATACATGTCAAAATAATGCGAATGAAATGACTCTTGTTTGTTATTAAGATACTTTCACGATTCTTACAGACCTAAAAATTCGAAATTGATTTACAATGATTTCAAAAGTTTTATGGGCTTGCTATATCTTATGTTCGAATGTGCAAGTATTCTTCTTTGTCGTCGATATCTTTAATAATTCGATCATTAAAGATGCACGTCGAAGATTCATCAATGAGTGTGTGATCGCACAATTAAAAGTTTACAGCCTTCTCTTTTTTTATTTTTGTATGTAAAATATTTATATCTTCATAAATACCGACATACCGAACGATAAGATCTAAATAGAGAAATTGTTATTACATAATCACAGTTGTACAGCCATTTGCTACCTCGTATTTAATACAAAAATGCTTAGATAACAGTACCGTAGAACTCGATTTTTATTTGTGTGTTACACATTTATGTTAATTTCAGTCTGATCAATAATGTGTATTACTATTACGAAATGAAAGGGAACTCTACCGTTTAATTAGGAGGAAGTTGCCAATTTAAAGCCCGCATAATCAAAACACACACGAGTTTACAATCTAAGCAGTTTTGCAGTACTATAACTGATAATAATATAAATATTTTTAAGAGCACACGTTTGCATAATAATCGCAATAATACGAGACACGATAAATTGGATTATTATTAACAATGTGTCCACGTTTGCAGAATAAAGAAAAAGAAATAACATGAAAGAAGATAGATTTAAAAATAGCTGAAAGATGAATAAGAAATACAGTGGTAAACAGTAGTAATAGTAATTGAAAAGAAAATAAAGACCCACTATTGTTTTCTCATAATCTTGAGTAGTCATTGTTGCAAACAAGAACACATTTTATGATTAATAGAAATCAATTTGTTTAGTTAGAGTACTCTTGATTTATCGGAATTCGTACTGCTACTATCTAAATAACAAATGCATTAGTCATATATCAAAACTACAAGTGATTAAAGGTGATACAGGTTTATAGCAAGTATCTTTAGTTATTTAATTGTAATATAAATGTTCAGCAAATTTGTTTTCTTGTTTAGATATTACATATTACTATTTTATGTAATTCATTATTGTACAGTAATCTAATGATTATGTGTATGTTTTGCTGCCTGGAGTGTGCAGATAATTCTTCCTTGACATTGGGGAACCATCATCTGCCTTTTTTTTTTTTTTTTATCATAAATACTTCATAAAAGAAAAAGAAAAAAAGAAACAAAATAATAGGCAATCTCTGTAACGTCAACTAGTGCATAAACAAACGGTCGTAATAAGGCTCTTCTGGCTCTAATAATGTTTAACACAAGAGAAGAATTATTCGCACAAAACAGAGCATGTAACGTTTTGTATTTGTATTATTGTAACTTGTCAAAAATATATCGTTCAATTTGACCTGCCCTATTGTTGGTTTTCTTTGTGCTGTGTTAGACAAAGTATAACTTATCATATTGTTAATTAAATCATATCTACAATACTTTAGTAATTACTACTGACTTTAGAAATATTCATTTACAAAGATATTTTTTTCACATTTACGAGATTCAATACATCGAATATAGAATATTTAGAGTACAAAAAATTATTATAAATCAAACTGATTTATAAAAATATAAATCAGTTTATATTTTTTCAGTTTATATTATATTAGTTTATATTATATATAAAAAAAATACGAAATATAATGAAAAAAAAATGATCATTAAAACCAACAATTAGGACAGTATTATATAAATATTTAACTGTATGTGTTTTTTTAGTACACAATATTAGCTAATTTATTTATTTTGTTACTCTCCTATTACCCTATTTTGTAGCTAAATTTGTTGCTTTCACAATAATTTATGTTCTTAGTAATTAATATTTTAATTGTGTTATTGTTATAAGTAAAATAGTACATAATGTAATTGTTTATAATATTCAATATTATATCATTCAGGAATATCTTTCCTAGATTTTCACACGACTTGCCGTAATCGTAATGCATCCTGTTATACAAAATAAGAAGAAAACTTACTATTCCATATAATTCAATCATATTTAATTATATTATTCTATTTTTTGCATAAACGAACTTTTATTTAACATCAAAATGTAATTAGAATCATATCTAATTACAACATATTAAAGAAAACATTATGATTACGAGAAGTTGATGAAATTAGCATTCTTTATAAGTACGTTTTATAATGGTTAACTAGCATCTTAATTGATTAATATCCTACTATTTCTATAAGATGGTAGTGTACAAATTTTTGACTTTTCTTTATGTACGCAAAGATAACATTTATAACATTTATATCATCGACAATTTAAAAGAGAATTGTATTTAAGAATAATATTTTTAAGATAAAATATACACGAACAATGCGAAGATAAATACTTTGTTTTTCTTTTATTAAATCTGTAGTGGATGTAGTACTTATAAAGAATGCACTTAAAAACACAATTGAAAAATGCATTATTATAGTGCTAAATTGATTAAATTCTAAATAGTACTTTGAAGATTATATCATGATATATACGATCACAAGAGAAATTAAAATATTTATTTATTCATCACATGTGATTGAATATAATATATAATTGGTATTTGTAACAATATTCTCACTTTATATTGATGACCTCTTCATTAAACTCTTCTCTCTTTTCCTTTTTTTTTTTCTTTTTCTTTTTTTATAGCATTAACGAATGAAATTTATTTCATTTCGTTTCGTCTCATTCCATTATGTTTTTACAAACATTACCATCTTTTGGCGGATCGTTTATATCATGATACGTAAAATTGTATTTTTCTTTTTTTAGTAACATCTATTATACTTTAATATTAATAATCTGTAATAAAAACGGACCTAATAAAAACATTTATTTCTTTTTTGGCCTCACTTTTTGATACTAAACTATGAAGGTAATTGAAGAAAAAAGAAACAACAATCAGTATCATTGTTGAGTTGTTAAATAATTAAATAATTAAGTAAAGTTTGCTATAATACCCCTTCTTTTTAAATTAAATTTGTGTATTTCTTTTCTTTACCTCATATTTTTGTTTGAAGATATATTGTTTACATGAACAAGATTCGTGATTTATACGAAAGAACTCTGATGGTTCATAAAAATATATTTGTTCTTTGACAAAATATTAATTTGTGCAGGGTATTATACATTTAAAATAACTTTAATTACATCGTAAATATTAAATAATAGTCTTTAAAACTGGTTATTGTAACATTTTAAGTCTATGAGGAAAAAATTTGATAATGTTGTCCTATCTATTCTAGTCATTTATACTTTAGGCAATATTTTACCTTTTCTTCTTTCTTTATTGTGAACGTATAGTCGTTTTATAATAATGATTACCAGCTACATATTCAAAATGAAAATATTCCATAGAGCCGGTGCACAAAACGCCAAGTTCATGCGTTTCATTGAAAAAAACTAATTCACATGCTCATTTAATTGCATGTCATTATATCGAGCTGTAACACGTATGTCACATTCATCGCTGGTATCATAAATATAAATTACTCCCTCCTCTTTTGATTAAATTGAAAAATCCTAAATATTCATAATATTCTTACACCTAAAACTGTAAAAACTTACAACACAAAAATTGAGTTTAATTAATTTAGTAATGTACTCTCGTCGTAAAATTACATATCTTCATTGCTATCACACACTATTTAATTTCAATAGTAAGTATATAATGTATCCATATACATATATATATATTTTAAGCATACTTAAAATTTAAAATGTAACATACTACCATATACAGGAAAAGCATGGTGAAACATATACAAGACTATATTCTAATTAATATATTATTAGCTATTAAGAGGAAAAAAGGAAAAAGAAAAAAAAAGAGAAAAAAAAAGCATATTTATATAAAAATTTTATCTACCGCCTATCATATTTTTCGATGTATCCAAAGTATAAAAAATTTTTTTATGAATTATAATTTGAGTATGTCTTATAGAAATAATAAAAGGTGAAAAAAAAAATATACATACATACATACATCATACATAAATACGTATGTATATACATACATACATATATACATACATACCTACATATATTATACATACATACATCATACATACATACATACATGCATACCTACATACATACATATATCTAAGAAAAACAAAGAGAATAATGATAAGAACATTGTAAGTTCGAAACAATACATGTATCTTTTGTTTTAACAATGAAACCGTTAAATGTATTATTTTCTTACATACTTCTTTCACGAATTCCAATTCGTTTCTCGTTATAAATATGAGCAATTTTATTATTTTGTATAAAAATCTAGAAATCATATATATTCCTTATACAATATAGGTATCATCAATACTACCTTTTCAACCAAAGATATAAAATTTGTTAATACTTGTATTATTACCATCAGTACGAGTCAATTGAAAAATCCTATTTAAATATATATTTTAAATACAATAGAAATATCATCTCTCGTGACATACGTTTAACAGCTCAACAATTGAGGAAAATTATCCCATAATAATTATATTGTGGGACATTAATCTTTTGTTGCGTTTAATTATGGTATTATAATTTTTAAACAAATATATACTTTAGAGGTCCCAAAACTTTGTCCATCATTTATGATTATATTGTTTTTTCTTTTCCTTCAAGCTACAAATTTGTGTAACTGGTACACATATGTGTTATTAAATGCTAACTATTTAGCTAGCACCCTGCTAATAAATGTATCTTGTATTATATATTAAATAGTTCTTCATTCCAAGATCATTAATATGTGTTCTTAATATAAAGGATGTGATATCTGAATCTTTATAAACAGTTATATAGCAGCGTGACTGTTGACACAAAAATGTATGACAAATAGACTACGTACACGAAGTCTTATCACATCCATATTCACTTTGGCGATAGTCAAATTATATATTTGAATAAATTTGTTTTCTTTTCATTTTTCTTCTCTCTATTGCGATCGTATATGTACCTTGGTACAAATTGTTTTAATTGTTCATTTTACATACCATCGCATTTAAAGTACCAAGAATTCACTTGGAAATTCTAGTACTACTCACATTAGAATTCTGAGGATATTTGTCCTGGTTACTGAGAATGAGCGGAGATTATAACAACGGGCGTTCTAACAAAATATTCGGACCTAACTTGTAGAGACAACCGGAGTCTGGCAGTACGGGCACTCTCGTTGATTTGGAGCGCACGTCGAGCAGACCACGTAGTGGTTACAGGGTGAGAGGGTAACAGTGCGATTTTGTTCTTCGCAAACCATGCACTTTGTTGCCGTTTCTCTGTACAGCACCTGGAACGGCAACGACTGAGCTACCTATAGTGTTTCCATTAATCAAATCGATCGCAAATATTAGATTTTACAATTTTATCAGAAAGAATCTTGATTGCCAATTGGAACGTTTAATTTATAATAGAAGAAAATTCTGTTTGATGAAGATGAGGTAGCTGTAGAATCTAATTCTTTCACATCCTCTTCAGATAAACTAATAATTATTCGAGAATCGCTTGATATACCAGCTGTTCAAACCGGCATGACAACTTTGTTTTACCTTTTCTACTTCTTCGAGATCCAAACGGAGCTGTGATTGAATTGATTTTAATGCGGCTATCGATAATGATCTGAGCTCACTTGTTCTTCTCAATGTGTGAAGGTATGGTCCACCACTAGACGCTTCATTTTCTACCCTTAATGCTTTCACTTGCAACAAGGCCTGTTAATAATTTTTATATTATCAACATTTATAAGCACACTTCACAAAAAAAGAAAAAATAAATAAAATAAAAAAGATAATAGTTTAATTGATAACAAAATAAATGTATGTCATATTTACTTCATCCCTTTGCTGTTCTGCAATACTTGCTTTTCTTTTAGCTTCCTCACTTTCTAATTGCCAAGCAGCACAAGCAGCTCTAGCTTGATTAATACGTTCGTCCCATGTTGCTAGTTGGGCACGACTTGATGTTAATTCTTCCCTGAGCCTTTGTACCTAAAGCATATCAACACAAGTAATTTCACTTTTTCGCACTTATTTTGATTCATAAGAAGTAACACTGGAGTAAAAACTGAGGAGGAGTTCTAACCTCAGATAAAGATCCTGTGTTACTAGGACTAACGGAAAATGCATTAACCAATGGAGATGCTGGGAGAGGTTGAGTACGAGATGGAGACATTCCTTGATTTGTAAAATCAAATAAACTACTATTAAATCCGCTAAGTTTAGAAGCTGAACTGCTAAGTTGTGAAATATGATTGCTAAATGGATCTGATACTTGATTCATAAATGGCATTGTCTGAAACCAACCAAACAAAATAAAATATTAAAATAATATTGAAACATTTTTCTACAATAGATTTAAATTGGAAAAAAAAAAAAAATAAAAATAAATATTTTGTTTACCGATTCTATCGAATCCTGATGAGAAAATCTGGACCCCGTAAGAAAACCAGTCGAATGTAAATGTTGAAGTGGACTGGATGTTGATGGTGAAAAATTTGTAAGTACGGAACGTTCATTCATTCCAGGAATATTAACTGGCGCTGAGCTTCCTAATAGTCCAGAACTTGCTAGGCCTGCTGATATTGAATTGCTAATTGGTGAATTAGTATCCCTGTGAATTGATTCTACTAAATTTAGGGGATCATCTAGATGTAACTCATCTAATGCATTTCCTAAAAAGGAAAATGAAATTACGATTACAAGTAAGTAAAACGCCTTTTCTCTCATTTTATTATTATTATTATTATTATCATCATCATCATCATCATCATTATTATATCATCATTATTATTATTAGTATTATTATTATTAGCATTATTATTATTAGCATTATTATTATTAGCATTATTATTATTATTATTATTAATATTATTATTATTATTATTATTATTATTTCTTACATCTTACCTACTACAGATTCCACAGTATCATTTGGATAAAATGAACTCGAAAGTGGTGAGACTGTAGTTGCTAATGAATGACTGCCTAATGTTCCATTCAAACTATATGCAATGTATAGACTTTGTTTCTGCTGAGCTTTCTCTGCTTTCGTTAATAAAGGATCACTGTCTATAGCAACCATTTGTTTTCGTATTTCACCCTGTTTAATATTCTTAAAATTATTTGATGCACCTTTTATTGAATGTACAGATACATTCCACAATCAAATGATCAAACTTACAACTTGCAAAAGAGAACTAGGATTATAAAGTATGCTTGTTAACTTTTGTTGATTGGAAGTGTTTACAGTGCTATTGGAATTGGAATTATGAAGTTGAGCACCAGGGGCTTTACTATGTGAACTGTTGCTGCCAACGCTACTAGTACTTGCTGATTCTGATACTTCACCACTTCCATTCTGTAAGTCAAGTTAATAGCATCATGAATTGATCAAATCTTGTTTGAACTAAGTTCATTTCTTTCATATTCATAGTAGACTTACACTACTATCGCTAAGTGGTTTATCTTTTTCATGAGAGCGCTTATCAGGTGGAAGCGCATTACTTAGAATGTCTGCCAGATTGGTGCCACAATCTATAGGTACCGCCATGTCCCTCGCCAGGCTCATTTCTTCTGTTGGCAACACTGCTCCATCAGCATACCATACCAACGTCCCAATATATCAATTTTGAGAAGCAATTTTGAATACTAAGTTTAATCATTTACAAAAGGCCTACATTTACTAGATAGATAGGTAGGAGATAGATAGAGAGATAGAGACAAGAATAGATAAAGAGAATTTTCAAAGAAAAATAAAATGTTAAATTGTTTTAATATAGTGGCAATACAAGCACTTTTACATGTTAGTAAACTTTGCATCATTCAAATTTGTTTCAGTCAATTACATATTAAGTGATTAAGTGTTGCGACTAGTAAAACAATGTTGCAGAAAGCAAACAAAAAAAAGGTGAAAAAATTAATATATATGTATAAAAAAAAAAATTTTCTACTGAACTTACTAAAGTAGTAGTAACTGTTTTACGTACGGTTTATGAGGGTACACTCACGGTCAACATGTGCAAAAGCACAGAAGACTCCGCGCGGACAATATCCAGCTTGTTGAACATCATTGCACTTTGTAGATTTGTATATTTCAGGATGGAATTGTTGCTCCGTACGTGTATGACAATATGTACAAGCATCTCCCTGTTCACAATTGCCTGGTTCACCCCATTCTTCGCCATGTTTTACATTAGGACACGGTGTTGATCTGAAGTAAATAATGTTTTCTGTTAGAAACAATGATATTTTGAAGGTTTTCTCAGACTCAGACATTTTGCTGACCTGTACTTGTACTTGCGAGGACTACGCCTTTTATCTTTACTATTGTGATATTGTGGGCAAGCATAACCCTGACGGCAAAGTCTTGGTGGACGTTTGCAAGGTTCTGTTTTATAATTACTGAGTACATAATTTGTATCCTGCCATTTTGGATCTTCGTTCATCAAATTCCGTTCTTTATCAAGTATGTTTGGTCCATTAGATGATGAATTAGGATCAGAATCAGGATTTTCCAATGCCTGTATCTCTTTAATGTCATAGACAGGTGGACGAAGATCATGATTGCCATGTGCAAAGGCACAGTGAGGACCATTCTTAACACAGAATCCACGTGTGTCTGTATCATGGACACACATGCATGTTTTATAATAACGTAGATGGTAACGTCTTTCTGTGTCGCCAGCAGTGCGGTGTAGGAACGGACACCTGTTTAGCAATAAAGTTTATGTAAATTACTTCAAGTAAAATTGCATAACGTATAAAAGATACAATTTGCTAATGAATATAGTTTGTATCAAATATAAATAGAATCTTACAAACAGAATAGTGTACATAAATTAATTTAAGAAAAAACTAGATTTTATACTACTACTCGGAATTATTAGTTTTCAATTATTAAGGATTAATATTGATAAATTCGATGAAAATTTTATTGCATAAGCTGTGTTATTATATACTGTGTTAACTATATAAAAATCGAATATAATAATTTTTACGTATTATAAGAAACTAATTTCTTTTGGTAAGGAATATAACTTAATATAATTCTTGTATCAGTGTTTCACGCGAGTTATTGATCTTTCGAAATTTAACTTAGATTAGAAGAAAATGTATCGTGTCGAGAATCATAGTGTCGTAACAAGCTAAAAATTTACGACGACTATCAGAAATACAAATATGACCTTGGGCCGATATTTGTATTTTCTGTGCTATAATTGTACTATAATGATATTAATGCTTTTTACGGTGCAGCAACAAGGATTACCACATATAATTCTTTGTTGCCACCATGCCACGTAAGAGAAAATCAATATCAGTAGGCTCCTTTGTTTGGGGACTCGAGGCGCTGAATATTTTGGAGGGAAAACCAATGGCAGATATTTTCATTTATATCCTATTCGAAATGTATATATTGACATTCCAAACAAATTTTTTTTCACAATAGTATCTATTATTTTTAAAATTCTATGAGAATTTTTGACAATTAAAACTTAATTATTTTTTTATATCGATAATATGAATATATAATTCTAGTTATAGTTTTTTATTTAATATTAAAAATTGAATTGCATACTTTAGTATTAAATTTAAGAATATTTAATGAAAGATGCATTATGCTTAATTTCGATCCAATTATTTAAAATTTTTATTCTACATGTAGAAATATTAAAAATTATATTAAAAAATAGAAATCTATTACTTACTAACAAAACTAAAAAGTAAACCAAGTACAAATGTTGAGTATAAGTAACGAATATTCAGACTGCATTTATTGCAATAAATAATATAATAAATGTATTCATACACAAATTAATTATTAATTAAAAGGTAACTCAATTTTGTTATTAAGGGAAAAAGTAGTTCGTAATAATTATTATAAATTATATTAAACAAAAGATATAACTTTTATTGAATAGAAAAAGAGAATCATTTCTATCTATTAATAAATAAACTAAAATCAATTCATTTTGATATGCATTGTATTTAAAATATATGCGAAGAGAAAATGAGAAGAAAAAATTATGCACAATTCGTTTTGTGGGTCGATAGCAAGCATGGCGAAAACCTTTTCATTCATCTAATCTTGCTAGCGATACCATAAAAAGTTAAACGTAGAAATGATTCATAAATATTCTCGATATTATTCAAAAATATTTTTTAAGAAGCTTTCATGCTGAACTGCCGCTGTTAACGATTTTACGAAAGTTTTAAAGGAAATTGGTTTTATTTATGTATTTTCAATTAACAAACAATAGCTGTTAATATACTTGATGATAATTATTAATTTTATTTGTTAGTCTTCAAGAATATTCCTTGAAATGCACCTATACATTTTCTGTTTTCCTTCTTTTCTTTATTTTTTCATATTTTCTTCAAATATGTGAATTCTATGATAGTAATGAATAATAAATTATTACTTGAAAAAATTGTGTTCTTTGCAGTACAAGGTAAAAGAACGAATCTTTTTGTTTAGAAAGAATTTGGTAATGATAAGTTAAAGATTAATTTCTATCGGACGAGGAATTACTGACAAGATAAATTAGAAACAGTGACCTAAATCTACGTTTATGTATCATATCCTGGATATCTATAATCAAATAAATTCGAGTCAATAACCTCAATATCATACAAATACATTAATTTTTTTTAAGTTTTCATATTAAATCTTAAACAGACAATCACCATTCATAAATATACATTATTTAATAAATATTACTATAATTTATCGAGGTAGAAGAAAAAATATAATGGTGGAAATCATCACGATTGAAACATGGCTAGAGAAGAAATTACAGCTATATCTTCGAAAGCATAGAGAAATTTCTGCTTAGAGGTTATCTACAATGGATGACAACAGGTTAGCAGCCGATGGTAGCTATATTCTATCAGCAATGGCGGTTGCAAGCATGTAAGCATACATTCACAATAAGAAGAATATAACTAGCGATGTTTTTAGTGAAATTAATCTGAAAATACATTATATTTATCAATTTGAAAACAATGGTTTACGACTGAATTGAAAAAAATCAATCACAACTCTGTACCATTGATATAACGTTTGATTTCCATTTTTTACATTTGTAGAATTAGGTCAAATTCTCGATATGAGAAGATTCGCATATTCTATACGATAATTGAATCTGTAAAATCTAAAAATAGTCGCCGAAATTTCAAATGGTAACAAAAAAATATAAAACACTTAGTAACAATTTTTAAAAAATTAGATCAATCTGGATAGAATGATTATAAAAATTTAAAGAAAAGTATATTTGTCTTTATATATAATACAAAAATAACTTGTAAATGATGTCATATAGTTTCATTTTACACACCACTTTATAAATAAGCAAAAAATTGCAAAAAATTATAGAAAACCTGAAACGATTGATATAGGAATAACTATATTTTGGATCTTCACACTTAATACTAAATGAATATTATTTTTAGAAATATAAGTTACACTAAATTTGTATATTTCTTCGTTTTTAATTGTTTAAAAATATAAAGCCATTCGTAAAAAACATTTGTTTTTGACATAAGTCAATACGTACAATAATATATATTAATTTTTTATTGGCATACATTTATCGTACGTAATACAAACAATATCCATGCAATAAACATAAAAAATTTAATAATAAAAAAAAAAAGAAACTGGCATAAGATGCGTGTAAATAAACGAAACTATTATGACTACAGTTTACTCAACCTCCATGCTGCTTTTCTGTTGTATACAAATCCAACATGCGAGTGCAGTAATGTTTCGATCACTTTTGCTCGCATAAACACATACACGAACGCGTGCGTGCGCGCGCGTTCGCAACATACTCTCCCTCCCACTCATACGTACGCATGCATGTATGCACGCACGCGTATCCTCGAAAGTTACGTCGAAATTGGCCTCCTCTTCGTTACATAGGTTATTCTCGAAGAGATGTTACGTCGTTACGTCTTACACGTTACAACACACGCGTGTCAACGACACAAAGAAATCCAATAGGACCCGTTGTTTTTCTTTTAGAGGCATATTGATATTCGACTTAATTTCGAGAAATATCATTCACGCTGAAAAATTCTCTTACAATTGCAGGATTACAATTCTCTAAAGAATACGTTTTAAGTTTTATAACCAAAACTCTTTAATCTGTTTATACACGTGCATATACATATATGTATGTACACAGATATAAAATTAGAAAACAAAAAATAATAGGTAATCTTTAAAATTTATTAGAAGAAACGGTTGGATGTTTAATAAAAGAAACTTTTAATACCGTCGGCCGACTGAGACACGACAAATCGATGCATCTGACATGAGATATCACCCGTCGCGATACTTTCTTCTAACGAACGAATATTCGTCAAAATAAGATCATATACGAAGCTCACGATAGATAAACTTACTCGTCTCCATCTGGACATATGCCGGTGGTCTCGTCGTACTTGGTGCAATAATTATCGGCGCTATAGTTGAAGGTGCGGTCCCTCTTTCTCACCGGCCTGCGCCTCCGCTGGTTCATAAAGTGCCAGTTGAAGCACGTGAAGGGTCGGTGCTGTGTGCATTTGCGCTGTATAAAGAGGGGACATTGTTCGACGCGAAATTCCTTCAAGTATCTGGAATGCGAATCCACAGAGCTACACATTATTTCGTGGCGTTTTTTGACGCGCGCGTCGATGCCGCGCTGCTGCTCGCGCGGCCCTCCCTCTTTTTCCGTTCTCTCTTTCTTTTCTTTTTCTTTTATTATTTATTTATTTATGCATGGATATAGGCATATATTATGACGTGTTTTTATTGTTATTATTATTTTCGTATAATTTTCTTTTTAGCACTCCACTTTTGAATCACGCACTTCTTTTGGCTTTCTGATTATTATTCTCACTTTTCTCTCACGTAGCACGCGACCGGCCCGGCGGGCGCTTACTTACGTGTAATGATTCGCCTTTTCCGCCTGAGCTGTCAACAAAGGTTTAGAGTCGGACTTCATCTTGGACAACACAACCGAGCTACGCGCGCGCACACACAGACGGACATACGGGCGAACAGCGGCACACTCTCTCTCGTCTTTCTCGTCTTTCTCGTCGTCCTCGTCGTCGTCGTCGTAGCCGTCGCGTAGTCTGTCTTTCACCCCTCTTCCCCGCTAAACCTCTACCATCTATCGGACACGGAATGCGGGACATAGGGCGCGCACGGCGCAATACACATTATATGCGCCTTGACTATCCAATCCTTATGCTCTTTCACAGTCACGTGATTGTTTCTCTTTCAAGGTCATTGATGTTTTGGTTTGCTTACACATAAACATATATTCCTATAAATGCCGGAATATTACAATGAAAAATCGATCAATAATTTCTTTATCGATTGTTGTTCATTTTTTCCTGACGAAATGTTCATTGTAGTTGCTAAATTCCTCTTTAAGAAAAGGGAAGGACGTCGAAAATGCAACGATCGATTTCTGACGCTCGACCTCGATCGAGTTCCGATTCTGTGCTATGTTCTCACTGAAGCTAATTCAGCATCGTGTAACAGTACCTTCTGTAAATACCGATTGCTTCTCATTTTTGATATTCTTTATCAATAAATATATTAATTATGCATATACTCTGTTGCTTTGTGTTCTTAAATTAAGAGGTGCAACAAAAATTGTTTTGTTTTAGTTCTTTGCATACAAATATTTTTCATATATATATAAATTTTCTAATACAATCTAAATAATCTTTCCTTTCTCGTGCAGGCTACTGCTACCGTTATTCAAACATATTTCAGCTTAAAATCCATTTCTTGCAAAATATATGCGATCCAATAAAAATTTTCAGTATATCGTGAAGTACGAGAATAATTTATCAATGAATATTCGTTTTAATCCATGTTATTTTGCGAAATATAAAGTCATAAATGACACACGTGAAAATGTCTGGCCTATTTATTTTATTCATCGCAATAGCATGCTGATAATCGGTATCAATTCGATGAAACGATTCAGTTTTGTTCACTCTCACTTTCACTTCCACACCATGCTAATTTTATACTATATTACTTCTTTGGTCACTGATCTTACGCATTTCACAACTCGACTTTTCTTAATGCAATCTTAATGTATCACAGGCACGTTTACTCGTCGCTAACGTAAGTTGATATCGTAAAGGTTATGCGTATGAATCATCATCCCTTATCGCTCTTTTATAACGATTTCGATATATATTTAGATACCTGTGTTGAGTATGGTCAGCTTCGACAGTTTTTCTTCGACGACGATCGTCTAAACTTGTCTGACCACGTTTCGTGATTTGTAAACTGCGATATGCAACGTTTAACATCACCTTGTCGCGCACGAGCAAATTCGCTTACTTTCCCCCTCTCACATGAATAAAACGCACTAAAAACTTGTATTTCATTACGAACGGAAGTATCTACTTTCTTTAGGTAAAGATTTTACGCAATCAATTTAATTTATTGAATAAATTTTTGTGCTTTTCGTCTTATTTGAAACAAATTTATAAAATTTGCAATTTCCGCTTAAACAATACACATATGAGGAAATACCATATTAGAGCATGCGCAATTATACGAATACTGCAAACGCAGTATTGTAATTCAACCAATCAGAATGAAAATACGCAACAAATTTTGTTCACAATATGCGAATAATTCATAGGGATTTATTTAATGTGTGCATATATCTTTCCCGTTTTTAAAATAATTAAAAATAAAGGAGCTTTTGAAAAATGACATTTTATAAACATATATACTATATTTTACAGATGCTTATACTATAATGAAATATAAAATTTATCGTTTTTTTGAACTAACAAAAAATCTATTAGATATTGTTACATTGTAAATATTTTATCATTTTTCAATATCTTAAACATTTTAATAAAATAATTTATTTCCTTTTCTCACTAATTACATTAATACATTTAAAGAGGGAAGGGTATTAAAGTATAAGCAATTTTTTTATCACACTTACGTTTAATGTATACAAAAACGTAAAGAATTACGATAATATTAAGAAGAAACATACGTACAATGGTTTAAAGTGTGCAGTAGAAGGGAATATTATGCCATGACAATATAAATAATCATTCATGATAAAAAAGAAGCGTCATAAGTAAAATTTTTTAATAAATCGTCAAAAAATTTCGCTAATATATTACAATATGCAATTATGTACGAAATACGCAAACAGTTTTGTACAGCTTTACACTTTAATAGGAATTAAAATTAAAGTTTATACCAAAAGGAGGAATAGTATAATCATTATAAATAGTAAATGTTTCAAAGCTATAGCTCATCTACGTGCAATTTGTAAATTTATAACTAGTTACGATCTCATGTTCGTTATTGGTTCTGATAATATTGCAAATGTATATTTTAATTTACCGTTTATAACTTATTTGACTTTGTACAATTACGTTCTTGTTTGCTACATATTTAAATAAAGTCTTGTAGTATACTAACATACCTAGACACAAACTAAATGTGAACCATTCATTGGACTGATAAAAATATAATGCCTTTACAATATATGAAAATAATACACATTTGGTTTGTACGTACGCATGTTTGATTAATGCTACATTCAGGATATAATATTTTCCTACAATTTTTAAATCTAGTATAATACGAACTACTAATTTTTGTTCGTTTACGCATTTTGTATTTTTTCTCCATAAGAAATAATATTTGAATACTCTATTCTGATTTTCTTTTTTGATATTAATTGTTTTAGTAAATGCAAATAATTTTTTAAAACATTTAGAATAAAATTTTCAAAATGTTTAACAGATTTAATTTTGTATTGTTATTGAAAAGTGCGTTTGGAGGAAAAAATTATTACTAATTTCCTTCTAAACTGTATTTCAAAAAATTAGCAAGTAATTATTGTTTTAAATTTATTGGTATAGTAAAAAAATTTTTTATTGAACTAATGAATAAATACGTTAATTAGCAAAAATTAACATTATAAAGCAATATTTAAAAAAAGTTTCTCGATATTATATGATACTGATTTTAACAAAGAATATTACATGTCATTAAAATAGGTTTCTTATGTTTATATATTGCATTATTCTGTTTGCCATCAGACGTACTTAGGTTCTTACTAATTTTGAGCACTCCTTGGATGGATATTATGCAATTATTAATTACCTGTACAGTCATCAAAAACCATAACAGTATTTTCATTGGATGTTTCTCTTTGGATGGACTTATGCATTATAATAGTAAATTTCAAGGCAATTTTAAAAATGTGCCTTTTTCTTTAAAAATGGAGCGCTTAGTTCCTTAACTATTACTTAATTCAGTTTGACAGCAAACAAAAATTGGTCAAAAGATAGTATAATTGTTATCACTTAATATTTGTATGATTTATGACATCTACAGTTAAATATCTATTATAAATATTTTTATCGGATTTTAGTGAGTATTTTTTAAGATTCCAATTAATTGCATTCTATAAAATGCATTTTTTTTTATACATAGGCTATTTAAATATATTTAAATATCGATAAAATGAAATATTTAAAATTCTGTGCTTCTTTCATCCAATTGCATTGAGACACAATTCTAAATTGTTATAATCTAGATATGAACAATTTCTTGCAGTTATTATCATTGCAAAGTTATTATTATCAATATATTTTCAAATTTATCTTAAATTTGTGTATTTTAATTAATATACTCAAATATTATGATTATATAATGTCTTTCTTTCTTATTACTGAATGTTTGTATTTTCATCATATGTCTCAATACTCTCAATACAAGAGAAGACAGAAATTACACATTTTGTATTGTATGATTATAGCTGAATACAAATATTATACTATTATTTCTATTGAAACATACAGTAAAACAAATTTATGTACATATTGATATTAAAATTAGAAAACAAGAAAATATAGTCATATAACATTTAAATGAAGTTTACAGGTATTAAAATACTTGTTTAAAATAATTATATCATTGACATATTCAGATCCAATTAGTAATTTATAAATTTGAACCACTTTAATTAAAGAATTCTTCAAATTGTGCTTGGATATATTTAGAAAAAAATAATGTAAATTAATCACAACTGGTTCAAATAGTTTTACTGTCAAATTATGCAATATACCGGCAGTTTGAAATTTTATAAACAGTTTAGAATGAAATAATCCTACAATATTACTTCACATGAATTATATAAATATCGAAAGGGAGCAAACTTTTATGTATTTCTTTGAATGGCCTTTAGCGTGAACAACAAGAAAATGTATTTGAATTATTATTACATTAACAAGTTTATTTATACAATTAACTATCTATATACAATATATCAATAAGAATGTTGTATAACTTCTTTAACATAGATTTAAAGAGGCTGTTTAACGGCGCTGGCCACTCATTTGCTAAAATTCTAATTATATTCGACTCTGTTTATAATGTGTATACATAAAAGTTATGAATTTGTAATGACATCCCAGACTTCGCAGATGAGCATTCTATATACTTATCATTATATCAACCATGACGGTTCACTTAAGTTTTAATAAAAATTAATGCCTTTAATAGTGACCACTGATTAATTAAATTAATCAAGGATTAATTCAAGGATGGACTTATAAGATGTCTGATTAGGCACAGAAGATGATGTTCTGTTGTAATGAAAATGATGTTGATGTGTTGATAGTTATACATAATCATATGTATATTAATGTAAATTCTGTAAAACATTTATTTTGTACATTTAGTACGATTATTTTGCCTAAATTTGATTTTCTTCCATGAAATGTTAAGATAAAATGATTTTGATAATGTGCTATCATAGGCACGTATTCATACCATTTTTGAAATTGTTATATATTTTTATACACATTGTGATGTGTTTTAAAATGATGCTTATTGGAATTTTAAGACATTATTCTAATTAAAAAAATGTGTCCTAGTCTTAGCTCTCGAATTATGTTTTGAAGTGCAACTCAATTAATAATAAAATTTTAAATTTGCAGTTTCTAGTTCTCATTTTTCAAATTAAGTTGACTTAGAGCATTTAAAATTAAAATTCTTCTTAACAAAGAGAGATTTTACTTAATCTATTTCATTGTAATAAATGTCAAATTCATAAATGCAGATTTTTAAAAATTACATAAACAAAAGATCTAAATCTATACTGGCTTTTGCAAAGTTACACTTACTTGTTTCTACTCGCACCTATTATATATATTTACCTGGCATAACAGTAAACTCAGTTCAAACAATTGTTCCATACGTATTGAACATCACTCTGGTGGTATCTGTATCCAGAGTAACGTCTTCTGGAGATGCTAGATCGACTTTTATAGATCCAGAATTGTTTCTTCTTCTTGTCATACCACCGCCCCAATTTGACAGCGTCCAATGATAAGTTTCACCCTCTTTTTCGGTATTTGTTGTTTCTTGTGTTTCGTTATCTTTATCTAATCCAGTTTCAATAGAAACCGAGGAATGCGAAGCTACGGAATCAAAACTAGAATCTGCAGCTCCTCTGTAACGGCTAACATATTCAGTAGACATTTCACCAGGAGATTCTTCGATCGCTTTCAGTATGTTCTGACAAAGTTCTGAATCGAGTGGAATTGGATTTTCAGAATCGCGATTATGAATCGTAACAGCTATATGTGCTGGATGTGGGATAGGAAGCGGAATGAGCAATTTCTCTGCACTATAAGGACGAATTTGTCGTTTCCACGGTTGCCAACGTGCCTCTGTTGTACCACTTGTAGACGTTGTGCGTCTTTTAATCTTTGTCGATATTAAAAGTCCTCCAGTATCACTAAAAACACGGATGATTTTTTTATTTTTTATATTTTTCTGTAAATAATTTATTTTTAATATTTTCAGAAATGAAATTCAAAATGCTTTTTACCATCGCTTATCAGATTTTCTGCTATTACTAGTTTGCTTAGCTCGTGGATTGAAAGCTGAAACCTCTAAATAAGGGCTATAAACTTGTATATTTCCACGCGGCGCATAAACAGCACCGAGCAGATCTGGTCCATTTGTACCACCGATTTCAGTGCTATGAACCATATCTGTGTAACGCGACAGATCGACTCCTGGATGAGGTTCCAGCCTGAATTTTGTATCTGCATCGTCTAGGGGCTGAAGAAAATTTAAACTGAAAATATCTGCATACATAAGACCAGCTAAACCAGCCCAGTCACCAACACTTAAACCTTTATTTTCCCAAAAATCTTCTTCATTTCCTGATAATCTCGCGAACACATGACTGGGATAAAGACGTTCTAGCATAAGGGCCCCCTGTTGTATCACCACCTAAAAGAGAAAAATTATAAATCATCATAACTTTATAACATTACAAAATGTACTGAAATCTAAAGGCACTCTAATCAATAATTACCTTCAGATCGAAGGTAGTAAGTTTTATTTTACTTCGTATAATCATTCCAAGACCAGTTTGTAAATTTTTTCTACGTCTATCTAATTTCTCGTGTAATACGGCAATCAGATCTTTGGCTTCCTTCTCTAGCGATTTATATGGATCTTTTGTTTTGGCAAGACTCGCAGCAAATGGACCAAAACAAGCCTCTACAAATTGTGTGAAGTCTCTCTGTGGTTGTGTAATTAATCGCTCTGTTTCTTGCTGAAAAGCTAATAATTCATCTAGTTCTAGTTTTGCTTCAAATGCAGCTAATGCTTGTTCGGGCCTAATCTATAAGTAATATTGAAACAATTAGTATTATAGCTACTTCATTTCTTAATCTTTAACACCTACTTGGTAATAATAATCAGATGTTAATCCTGGTCCAGCTATTCTTTTAACCATAAAACTATCACTTGCAGGTATACGGCCTCTATTTTTTATTACTAAATGAAACATAGTTGTGTCCCAAACCACTCTAATCCAGTAACGTATCACAGCAACTATATTTAATTAAATCAATTATTAATTTAATTTAAATTATTAATTTAATTATATAACTTACGAAAAAACTGTTATTTTACCTGTAAGTATCACAAAAGAAATAATGGGACACAAAATAAGTGCTACAATTAATGCAGCTATTGGTTGCAGACAGCCTTGTATACCAATATTCCAAACTAATGCTTCCATAATAACCAAATATCGATTTCTACTTGGCTCTGGACTATCCAAGTCCATTATGAGTGCCATAAACGCATGCAACGTCAAAGTAATTAAAGGCATCCTAAAATAATAATAAGAGGAAACTATTAACATCTTATAATCAAGAAAAATATAAAATATATAATACTTCAATTTACGAACCACAAAACTGCAGTAAGCGCAATAAGAAGTGATCCTAAACTTGTGACTATACAAACAACAGGAAAAACAAATAATATGATAAGTGTTCCTAAAAGACCTTTTACACCATAATTCCATAATCTATTTAAATGTCTTGTCATTCCTTTTCCAATAAATCCTACAATGAAAAGTAACATTATTTAATTAATGGTTAGATGGATTTAATCACATATTTAGTTTATTAAATTTACCAGTGTCAGGTTCTGTTTCAAAATGTGTTCGACTTTTGCTAATATGTCTCCAAAGTGCTATTAACCGAGAACAAAGAGTGGGCATTTGGGATGATTTTCTAGGGAACAAGGTTCCATTTAATTGACTCAATTCTAAATCGGGAGTAAAGGGTTGTACGAGTAGTAAAGCTCGTATAGAAACTGGACTACACCATGGTACTGCTAGGCCTAATAGAAACATTGCATTCCAAGTCCAGCACCATGTTCTGGCTATGTAATTGATCCAACGCCACATGGGCCATCTGTTCATAAATTCCACAATCCATAAATTATTTATAAGTATAATACCGGAAAAATAATAATTTTCAAATATTAAAAGCATTAAAGAACAATTTTATTTCATTATTTCAATTTTTATAATGATCAAATATATTGTAATATACCTTGTTGTAGTTGTGTGTACAATTTCTCTCTCGACCAAAAAGACAGGCTGACTGGGATCTGCGCGAGGCGTCGTGATAGACGTCGGAGTATTGCTTAGCACCGTTGGTATGATTTCAGACTGACCCTGAAAATTACGTCTGACAATCCAGTTTTTTGGAAGCCATATCTGAGTTGGCCATTGAAAGCTCCTCGTGGGTGTTTTAACTTTACGCAATTCTTTTAATAGGACTGGTTCTCGCTGAAAGAAACGAATATTCTGTTTTTACATATGAACAAAAAAGTATCTATAACAATATTAGTAGGTTTGTATACCTCTTTCATAAAAGTCAAATCACGATTAAGAAAGTAAACTGTCTGTTGTAAATTCTGATGAGTGCACAATGTAAGAGCTTCTTCATGAGCACTCCATTCGCATTCTTCGATAAATTTCTCTTCGACTTCTCTCATCCGGTCGCGCATCCATGGCTCTATTCGTGACAAGACTGGGTGCTCATTTTCTATGTGGCATTTCAGTGCTTCTTTCGTTTGTAATAGTTTACATTGTACAGTTTTTACAGCTCGATGCATTAACACAACCGATTGTGCTTGTTGAACTAATAGTTGACCAATTCCGTTACCAAGATCAAGTATATCTGGATGTGACAAAGTATTAGAGAACACTCGTTGTAGATATTCTCGCATAACAGCTTCGTTCACCTCCTAAAAGTGGTAGAGTAGAATCTCAATAAGAATCTCAATAGAATACTATATAAATTTCTGATGACTTCATAGTAATTAAATTATACTCTTTCAATCTCTTCATCCGGTTTTTTTCGCGCTCTCAATTCAGATATCAGTCTTTCTCTGAAATGAAGAAACCAGCCTCGTGTCTCTCTCTCCAAAATAGCAACTAGAATCGGTAAAGCTTTTCTGATAATGTCTCTGCTAAATAATCTAAGATCAACCACTGCACCAGCAGGCGTTCCAAATACAAAAGGAACCGGAATAGGTAACAGTTGTGACAATTCTCTCTCCACTTCAAATTTCTCCATTGTCGCACGTCGAAGTTGTTTTCGCACGAAACCACACAGAAGTTCCAAGGAATCTTCATATTCAGGCTGCAATTAACAATAAAATTTATGACAGTATTTTTTAAACGTAATATGGTATAAATAACAGTTATTTGCTTGTTTAAGTGTTGATCTCAAAATTGTTATTTTTATACGAATAATACATTATTTAAATAAATATATACATTATATTACTTACATTTTCAACTTATACAAATTTTGTTGAAAATTAGGAACTGATTGTAACATAAATAAATATTTTAGAGATCATTTTTCAACTTACTCTGCAGACTAATTCAGCAACCAAGTATCGACACCGTTCTTCTCTGATTTTGGCATCCAAATTATGTGCTTGAAGCGATGGCACGCCAATTATTATATCTAAAATAATAATGTTAAATTACAGTTAAGTAATATTAATCTGGCAGCTACGTTTAAGAGTACAAAGAACTTGCTCAATGAATTCGTACCAAGAAGTCGTAATAGTCCTGTTAATAATGCTTTCAGAGATTGCGATACACTGAAACAATGGGAGACTAATCTGGCTTTTGCTGTAACTACAAGGAATCTTGTTGCCAAAGCAAGATCTCGAAGTAACGCATCTCGTCTTCTGTCCCGTCCACGTTGAAGAAGTCCGCTTAATCTCCATCTGTGTGTCTGTCCGGTAAAATTGATTGAATCCACTTCAAATTCCCTGAAAAATAAATCATTAATGAATATAATCGGTTTTAGGTAAAAATGGCAAAAATATGTTGGAAGAATCCAAAAATAGAATGTTACATCTACATTATGAATATAAAAAGAAAAAAGAAAAAAAAAAAAACATTTAACATATACACGTACGTAGAGAACAAAAATATCCTGGAAAATATACATAGGGCAGTTTCAATAAAACGTTTTAAAAATTTTACATCATTGCAGTATCTCTAATTACGTGAAATTTATTAATTCACCTATTAGTGATTAATAAATAGGGAACCTTATATTCACCACTCCTTATTTGTGGAGCTAAGGCTACAGCTAAGAATTAGTCGCTATAATACAAGCATACTTTAAACACTATAGAAATTAAGTGACAACCTACACCATACGATATTGTGCTTTATTAGCTACGATTTACTTCATGCTGTGATTGTTTAAGTATCATTTGTTATAAGGTATGCTGACTCTACGAAATCACTCCATAGACCAAATATAAATCTTTTTCTGACGATAGTGCGATTGGCAATGCCTCGTTTTGTGTATTTGAGTTCTATCAGATGAAAATTAATTGATTAATTAATTGCCAATTTTACCAGAGTGAATTTCAGATGAAGATGAAAACCATGCTGTTTCGAGAATTTTACGGTGGCATTTATGGATTGAATTTTTAGAAATAGATTTTTGTTAAAAAAAATGATTATGAAAAATGAATGATTCCAGTCTCCAAATTCACTGTACAAGGTAATATTCATCGTTTTGGTCAACTTTGTATATTGTGTGATGCTGGTGTATGACATACCCGCATCTTCGAATGCTCTCCAATTGAGTGGCATTCAGCTTCTTCGGTTTTCCGTACTTCTCCTTCTGAAAGCTTTACAAAAATTGTTAGAAAATATCAAACACAAAGAATGACAGTCTGGTTCTACAACACCCTCTCGGAAACGAGATGCCATTTGGAGTTTAATTCGTTCATTATTCTTACTTTATTGAAACAATTTTTAAACTGTTATATCTTTTTATTTAATAGAAATATTACATGTACCGATTTTGATGTACTTTAATACGTGAGTGAGGAATTAAGAACAAAATTCCTGAATGTCATTATAACAGATTTTAGTTATTAGACCCTTTTATTTTCGAAATTTGTGTGCCTAATAAATTCATGTTACACACATGATATTTCCTGAACTTCTATAAATGTATTTCCTGAAATGATCTATTTTATGTATATTTTCTATGTCCTAAATAATACTAATATCTGCATCAGTGAGAGCTCCATTCAAGCCGTAGAAAAATAAGTAAATATGTTAGTAGTACTCGCGATTTTCCGTATACTGTGCGCAAAGAAATTGCTAATGTCTAATTCTAAAGAATATAATCGCTACGATATCGTGTCCGAAGCATATTCAATTCAAAGACAAACGTCATTAATCCCAAAGTTGCAACAAGATACACTCAAAAAGTTCAAGAAGTTTTCTTATTCCACATCTTAATCGTTATTCAAATGTTCATTATTCGATTCTTTAAATCGGTGCTGTCAGGTTTTCACGTTGCTTTATTTTTAACTTGCATTTTGCTGACGATTATTGCAACTGGAGGGTTAAGGACGTCTTTAATGTGAAAGTTTAAGATTCTGATACTACTGCTACCTACAAAGATAAAAATAAATATTTTAATAAACGTTTTGTTACGGCAGGAAGACCTACCCTCGTTTGCTGATGCTTTCTAGTTGCTTCTTAGTCAACCTCCTTGGTTCACCCTTGCTATCCACAGCGACAGAATCTAATTCATCGAAACTAGGAGCGACAAAGAGATCCTTCAAGTGATGTTTCTTCCTCGCAAGCGTATCTTCGCCTTCTGTACACGTGGATAACGGTGGCGGAAGGATAATAGGAAATGTTCTCCAATGATAGAGGAATTGTTGTGCAACTTCTTTGATATTATGCACCAATGCCTCAACCTCGGCCGGTGCACCGCGCAAATGCGATGTGTCGAACTCCACCGGCTCTTTCTGCAAATAATTAATGAGTTATTTAACCACTCTTTATGAACTGAATAAATTATAGACAAGATAAATAATAGGACAAATTTTCTTTTTTAAGAAAAGCTTTAAAGTTTTCAGAAAAGAAGAACTTTTGAGAAAATTAATAAATAAAGTTAATAAATAAAATTAATAAATAAAGTTAAAAAAAAACTTAAGAAATAAGAATTCTGAAACTATTTCTATTACAAAGCTCTATTTAATAGAATGTTCCTTATTTCTTAATGGCAAATTTTCGAAATAATTTAATTTGAACTTTTAATTATGTGAGTATTATAATGATTTTCAAATTTTTTTATCTAGTTTTGTTAGATTACCCTGTACATAAATACACGTGTACTCGATTATTTAAGAGAACAACGAGACACTTTTCCTGGGTGTTATATTTCTAAACTAAAACTATTTTTTCTGCTCCAGAAATTTTATACTATTTCCACGTGTAATTCGTATAAATATATTAAGCGAGTAATTAGCGTCAGACTAAATGTCCAACGCGGTACGCAGTTTCTTCATCACGTAACAATGAATTTACGACAATAATAATAAATACAATTATTGGTAAATATTGATAGTAAAACATGTTAGATGGAATAATTCTTCATTGTTTAAACTGAACATTCGGAAACTTAAAAGCTTTATCACCGATATAGATCTTTTTGCTGTAAATCTCATTCTAAAGTAAAGAATCAAATAAGCTGAAAAATAGTCGCTTTTACAAGAAATCAATTCATTCTTCTGGCAACTATATCTCTCTCCGATGACTCGAACTGTCCACTTCCTTTTGCTATCCAGATGAACAAGGACGATATACCTCGGGTTGGAGTCCATCTCCATTCTGCCGATGATAAGGTTGCTGGGTGTAGGCCTGGTGATTCGGTCCCGTGTTGGCGGAGTTGACGGAAGCAGAGTTCAAGTTGTGGGGCATCTCGCGCGTGAAAAGCGTGCGCGGCGGCTGGGGTCAGCTGCCCCGTATACCGACTATCTCCTCATACACCATGCTGCTGGTAGCAACCATTTATCATTCCACGCCCTGTAAAATTATCTCAATTATAATTACATTCGATCAGATATATATGTAATTATTATAACAATTTTTAATAGTTATGTCGGAATAGATATTAATGTTTCCACCTATTATTTTTTTTAATTTTCTTAACAATTCTCCTTTTACCATAAGATAATTTTCATTATTGGTATAAAAATGAACGAAGACAAACTAGGGGCAAACGCGATCATCCGGCGCGTATGGGAGGCTTCGGCTGAATGCAGACTCCTATTAACCGATTATACCCCATTAAACGATTAACATTCTGAGCATTCCAGTTCTTGCTCGTTTCTGGCCGGCATGTGCATCGAATAAAATCTACTTTTACGTAGAATACGCACATTTGTGTAACACTGGCTTCTTTCACGGAATTCGCATTCCTTTTCCTCCGCTGTTTTAATGTCGGATTTTCTGATAATATGCTTTTGGTATAATCCCTTCCCCCTCTTAAAAAAAATAATATATTGACTATAAAAAAGTTATTGCATAGAAGAGAACTCCATAGTCGCACCTTTCCATATTCCCAGATAACTGAAATTGTATTATATTATATATAATGTAAAACGATTGTTTCATAATTAGTGTGTGTGTAATGCAACAAAAATCTTTTATGTATTCTTCATGAACTTCATAAATAAGCAAAGATTACAAATATGAATGTAACAATGTATTTTTAATGTAAATGTAATGACGCATAATAAAAGAGAAAGTTCAAGATACTCTTAATACAGATGAAGAATTAATTTTTCTTTCCCAGTTAATAGATTGATACCCCGAAGTCTGCTTGGTATTTCATTCGGATTTCTCCGTCATTTTTATGCAAATGCGTCTCCTTTCAGCGAACAATCAACATTTAATCTCGCATTGCATGCAGGATAAATAAGCACACGCTGTAGTTACAGGTTGTAATTATCGCAAAGAATCTTTCTTTCGTGCCAAGAAGATACTCTCCTGTTCGGCTTTTTCTATCCTTACGAGGAGCTGCACATTGTTCTAGTCTGGCAGAATACCAACATCGTCTCACTTTCCCAGTGGGACACAACGATATCTCATACCTGGAAATAATCTGAATCCCTTGCTTCCTGTCGCTTAAAATGATTTACCATAGCTGCACCATATAACGAGTGAATAAGAGATATTCGAACTACTTTCGTTCGAACTCTCTCGCATATTGTAGAGGCTGCGTGTAAATGAATGGTAATTGCTGGATTTATCTGGAGGGCTGGATTGTCCTGGAGGAAGTATAAATTAACCAGAGGTCAGGAAATATACATATACGCATACACAGAATGAGAGAGAGAGAGAGAGAGAGAGAGAGAGAGAGAGAGAGAGAGAGAGAGAGAGAGAGAGAGAAAGAGATGAAACCTGTTGTAATATCGATTCCGATACTCTAAACAATTTGAATCAACTGTCAGTTTTTAACTTGTCATAAAGAACTGAAATTACAAAAGAGGAATATATCGATTTGTAGAGAACAGACCTATGACCATAGACAAGATGTAAGATAGACTTCCACATTGTGCGACTTCCGTATCCTACGTCCTGAAATACCGATCACGCAAAAGATCAGACGTTTTGTTATGCCATCTACAATTTAAAACTGTAAGTTTGGGACCATATTTTACGTAAACTTCGCGATCGATAAAGTAGATACAGATATTTCCTATCAAATGATTAAAAAAATACGTCATCTGCCAATAATAACAAATTAATATAATTAATATGTTACTCCGAGTATGAATTCATCATAGAGCTAAAATCAACAAATAAATAAATAAATATTGCTTTTCCTTAAAAATTTCCCCCCCCCACTCCAACTCCTCTTATTTATAGATGGAAGTAAGCGTTTCGACAGTTTTAAATTGAAGTGAAAAGTGTTATACGCGATTATGTTTTTTACACTGGAACGTTTTAATTAGATCAAAATAATACTTGTAGGATCAAGCTATTAATTATTTACGGTAATATCTTTCGCAACAAATTTCTAAGAGAAATTTCCATTTGTTTTAATGGTACACGTTTCTTTCTTCGACTCACAATCAGTGATATTTAAATCGGATTAATTGCGATCCCCCCTATTAACGATTCTGATTATAGGCTACGACGATAGTATTGAATAAAATAATTGTATAGCTCGCAGAGTAGAGAGTTAATTAGCACAATTAACGAGAAAATGATACAATATCGTAATTTAGAGCGTGCACCTTAATGCCAGGAATAATAACGACCGCGGGAAAAGAGGCATGAAAATTAATGGGGATAAGTCGCAAATAAACGAGATGCCATAATCATCAAAATTAATCGCGGTATCGTTGTTACAATTTCGTTAAATCTTCACATTTTATGACTCTATAAGAATCTAACAAGCTTATGTTACTTTCAATACCTTTTTGAATATTCATTCTCAAAATAAGAAAGAAAAAGAAACATAAAAGAAAATTTTAAGATACGGATCCACGAAACGTAATAAACTTTATAATACTAACTACCTATAGTATGCCTCCTGATTTGTTATACCAATTTTTCGATGTCGTTTCTCATCTTGAGTGCATTTAAAAAATCAATTGGAACAATGTCTAATGAACAATAACTATAGTTATCGTGATGCAGCCAGGTAAGAATTAATTAAATTTCATACAGTGAAAATATTGCATTCTGTATAACCATAAATAATTCGTTGCACGTTAATTTAGGTTCGAGCATTGCACATGGAGGTCTCTTCGCGGTGGATGACCACAGATGTTCCTAATAACGAAAGAATTAAGAAAGAAAAGAAAGTTAAAAAAGGAAGGTCTGTCGCAATGACTGCGACGTGTTAATTATCCAAATGCTCCAAGTTCACGGTTCGAGTGATCGACGAGTTTCGCTGGTCTGTTTTGTATTTCCATCCACTTCCGGGCTTTCAGAGGACGAGGAAAACAGAGCAGGAAGATCTGTCTTCGTATCAAGATTTAAAATTCCGTCTGACGCTTTGCGAGCAGACAGTCAATACGAACATGCAGTGGGAACAGTGGGAAATATAGAAGAAGAATAATGGAGTATGCACAGGGGACTACTGGTATTTTTCTATTCCTTTCCCTCGTTGAATCTTCCTCGAGTATCGTTGACGAACGTATCGATCCCAGCTACCCTTGGCGGATCCATCGGATCTTGTCACAGAGAACAATTTCACTTGGAATATGTGAAACGCGAAAGGAGAAGGTATCGACGTGTATCTAACCATGGAATAATATTTTGAGAATTTTTCTTAACGTCTAATATCGAATTTTGGCTCTCCAATGATTACTTATCGTTCTTATCGAAATTGAAGATATTTCTTTGCAGAGTTGAATTGTAAAGTTTTGGACGTTATTCTTGCTCATTGTATTTCTAGTTTCATTTCATTTTCTATCTTTTTTTAAGGGAACTTAATCACTTCGATAAAGTCTTCATTTCCGAGAGGAAGAATAAGAGAAAAGAAAGGTAGCTTGTCATATTATCAATCACGGTCCACTGACAACCACAAGTACCAGTAATACTAGGGAAGAGTCTTGCAACTATTCGCCCAAATTGATTTGGATTAGGACGTGTTGATTTTTGTCGTGGCAAAGAGGTGGTGCGAAAGAATATTTACGACTTCGCTCGAATGCGTTCCAAGTAGGTTGGCAAGTGTACCGGCACGCTGGCTTTTGACCCAGTTCGAAGCTCGCAAGCTCTCGTAACCTTAAAACAGCGCTGCTATTCCAGTCTATGCCTCTAATATGTTACACCGTTTCTCGACTGTACAGTTTTAGCATGCAGCAGCATGCGAGGCCCTGTGAAATTACTGTGGCCAAGACTGGATTCATTCGATCAGGTATCGTGATAAGTCTTGGGTACTTATGATCGATTTTGTAACGTGGTTCTCCTTAAGAGTATAACAGCCTTCATACTAGTGCAAGGTCGTAAAATTGGTAAAACGTCACACATGTTAGAGAGATTTTGAACCCGAGACTTCAATTGTACATTACTTCTAAGTCTCCTACTTTTATTTTTGGAAGCTCCTTCTTTTATCATGGTAAACTTGTTGTACAACACGTGTTAAGTGGTATGAAATATCATTTTTCTGGTTGCTCCTTCTCTTCATCATTCATTTATCATTCTTCATCTTCATCATTCAAGGAAATTAGTATATTTCCTTTTCTAAACTCTTTTTAACATAATCCTATTTTGATTACCCATAGGAGGTGTTGTTGAGGTGAACGTTGTTCATCAAAGAAAATCTCCAGAAATGTTCATACAAATTCAGATGATGGTAATTGTTAGAGACGATTTTGAAGAAAATGGCCATTAGTATAATTCATCATTGATGACTTGAAGAAACCCACCACAAGGGGGTATGATTGTAACATCAATCAACTCTATGAACTAGATTAAAGGTGTAAGAAGAATTTGAAGAAGCGTGGACCAACAACAACTTTGGACCACTCTGGACAACTTCGGACATTCGTTGAGAATATTTGGGGATTCGATACATCATCCGTGAAAAATCGGCGACACCCATATCCTTTCATGCACTTCAGCGAGTCGTATTTAACTTGGAAGAACACCTATCATCTGCCAGTAGCATCCAGGTAACTTTGTAGTCGAGTTGATTATTCTTTAACGAGGTATATAAAGATGCATCGTATGCACTATAATTGCAGATGCTACATTACTTATATATACCTTGATATTAAAGGCTTTTTATCGAAAAGCACGAACAGCGCACACAGATGTCGCATGAATCGATGTTCTTAATACCTTTTCAAGCTTCAATTTTCTTCATATTTATTTAAAATCTCGCGATATTGTGGAAGCTATCGTAATACATCTTCCTCGAGTAACGAAGATCTTTGTAATTTGAAATGCAATTTGGATTTTCATTCCAGTTTTTAGAGGACGATATAATTCCGTTCTTCCTCATAAAGTGCAATGGCATTGCTCAACTTAAGTTCCATCGCGAGAATATCCTCCTGCCGGCGACACTGACCTAGATAATTAACAAGTGTTAAATCAATTTTGCAAGTCATAAAGAAGATTTCTTTTTGCCGTTAATCTACTGTACATCCAGCGACGTATGACAGGCATATATTTCAAACTCGCGAAAGATTCTTAATCTCTCACCTTGGAATATTTTAGTTTCACTTTGGTTTCACTTCGACAAACTATCGAAAATGAAAACGGATCTTTAAGGGAGAGTCGATAAATCAAATGGACAGTGAGGTTGGAGTAATAACCGAAGTTCTTCGCGTTCATTCAGGTCCGTAATTGGCTTCTCGTGCTATGGTGAGAACTATTTCCGGGCCACTTGATTTTCGCGTGTACATCACGGACACTTAAACGGAAAAGTTTGCTTCGGGGTAACTGGAGCGGAGAGTGAAACCTGGAAGGTATTTTTAGAAGATTGTAAACGAATAATTTTGGATTAGAGCGACGAGCTTGAGAAACCTGAATTTTCCTTCTTTCCTGTCCACGATTCTTAGGGGATGATC